GAAGTAACAGAGGCTGTTGCGCTTACAGCACCGATCACCCCAACCCACTGCACGTCTGTTATATGGTAATACTGATGTCTTCATCGCAGGACCTGTCTCTGGGGTTAACCCCCGAGGAGCAGCAGAGAGCTCCTGGTCACAGCAGGCAAGGCTCTGCAGAGGAGGCACTTGCAATCCCACTACTCCTGACTGAACAACCATTTCTCTCATACGGCCATGACTGCTGGTGCCTGGTCAAAAGTTCAGCCTGTGCATATGTAAAAAGGTGGCCTGGTGCCCGAGGCAGGATCCTGGGTAAAATAATCATGCTAAAACACTAAGAAGCATGGGACGAGGCGAGAGCGCTGATGAAACCGGCCCCCGGGGGGACTAAAGTGTCTGATTGGGCCAGCGGAGCCTCTTAGGCCCGTGCCCATAACAACCCCCTCCCCTCTTTCTACCCATTATAGTGGATGATGAGGTACTGGAGCCACTGCCCACTCTGATCTCCATGCAGCTTTGCACTGTCTGTGCCTATAGTTAAGGTATAGATTTGAGGAGTATAGGCTGAGCCCAGCTGCTCAGAGCCTGAGGGTACACTGATCTTGAGGGAGCAATCAGTCAGTCAACAAAATGTCACAGGGTCAGCGTTACAGCGTGACAAGACGGTGACAACTTCACAAAAGGTTACTGCCCAACTAATAACTGCAACAGTCACTGAAATTTATTATGTGCTTTTTAAACGTGTGCCCCAGCCTGAGTTTTGGTTCAAAGTGTATCGTCGAATAACTTTTACAGCATATACATGATCTCAAAAGGCCTGAAAATCTACATCAAATAAATCAATCAGAATCTCTGTCAATCAAATTTTTGAGCATTAAATTGCTGCAACTAAATTGCAGAACTGTGATAAAGGCTGTCTTTTGCCTTTCTCGCTCTCTCTTAGTTTCTCTCACACTCACACACCACTGCAGGCCAGATCATTCAACACTGATAATCACACCAAAGGACACAGGGAAAACTCCCACTCTAAACACGCTGAATTAAAGAAACAGGAGTTACAGGCCTGGTCGCACAATCTCTGATAAGTAGATCAAGGCATGGGGAGGGGAACATGATGTTAGTGAGAGATAGTTTGGCTGATTAAAATGTCATGGCTCTTTATAGATGCCTTTCTCAACTCAGCAAAATGAAATCAGCTCTCTACATCAACAGCAGAGTGGGCTGTGCACCCCGCTAATATAGAAGTTTCTTTCCCTTAAGTAGAATCCACAACACAAAGAATGCAAAATATAGGAAGTCAAAATATATTTGGGTAATATGCGAACAAAATACAGAATCAAAAGATAAAAGTGGAGTGTAAAAGTGAAGCGCTGATAAAATAAGAGAGCATGAAGCACATTTAATGACGGAGGAAAGCATGAACAGGATTGGATGACCAAGAACAGAGTGCATGGCCTGACGTGACATTTCCTCGCCTTTACTACAACAATCAAATTAAAGATTTAGGACCACATGTAGCTCCAGGTGTTTCAGTAGTCTCCATGTTGTGCACTTGTCCGTGTGTGTGTGTGTGTGTGTGTGTGTGTCTACTCGTGTAGGGCAACTGTATATCACTCCACCTGTGCTCCTATAAATCAAACCGGTGTTTTAAATGAGAGGCTGGTTATTTGCGCAAGAACACACACGGGGGCTTTGTGATTGTTTTTTGGAGTCGACATTCTGCTTATGTTTGCATCCCAGAACAATCTCCATGGATCCCGCAAGCGTGCGCAAGCAATTAAAGCGATACCATCTTCATATCCCTGCAACCAATAACTGAAATTATATCACTGTTTTATTAAGCCCTTAATGTGGGGGCAGAAGGAGTGAAGAGTGGGATTTTAAAGAGGATACACTTTTAGGGGCCTTATCAACCCCAGATTTAAATAAGAGCAAATGCTCAGCTTAAGGGTGTGCCTGTGTATCTGTGTGTGTCTGTGTGTAAGGCTGTGTGTCTGTGTGTGGCCTTTATCAGACATGAGTTTTAGCTAATCGCTGTGTCAGCACACCAGAATTTAATTACTAGCTCTACCTTTGTCCTTTAATATTTACTAACATCTACACTACGTTTAATTAACCAAGTGTAGAAAAGCCAATGCCCCATTCTGGAAGAGAACCCTCTCTGCTAATTGCATCTGTGTGCTCACATCCAAAACGTTAACACCCTTCCCTTAGACACACAAAGAACATGGAAGTGTCATCCACTCTAGGGTACACTTCCAAATCATCTGATTAAAAAGCATGTTTAACAAATTTTGGTCCAACTAAAGTTGACACAAACCAGATTTGAAGATGGAAACAAGACAGCAAGTGAAGAAAAAGAACTAAGGAAAATGTTCGAGAAGGTAAAAAGGGAGCAGCAGGGAAAAAAGTGTTTTGTGACAGACATAGTCAAATTGAGGAAATGTTCAGCTTGGCATTTTGTGAAAGGTGCTGAGGAGCAGTTCCTCTCATCTCTCATCCTATGTCAGAAGGAGGAGAGACAAATGACGGCCTGAGGCCTTGTGTCTGTCAAACATGATGGATCAGAATAACGCTTCACTAAAACTCCACCACGCTGCCTTTCAACACATCACATTTTCCCTTCAGTGAAAACACTAAATTGATAAACTATGAAGAGTAGCTAATGGAAAGATGTAATAGTCAAACTAAAGCATATATTAGGAGGCTGTGGAGCCTAAAGGGTAGAGTGCTGCTATCCATTGAAAAGTCTTGCAGGGCAGAGGACACAATAGAGATGAAGATAAATCACAGTGCTGGATTTTATCGTTCATATCCAAAGTGTGTGAGGACATTAACCTCAGGCACCTTACATCACCTCATAAGCACACACAAGTGCTGCGGACACTCTCTCGCACATACATACAGTTCATGTAGTCATTTACTGTTCACCGACATGCAGATGTGTCCTCGCACCAACCTAAGTTGCCACTCTGAGCTGTATTGTAGAAGTAATTGCCACAGTGCGATACCTTGAGAGGAAACTTAAACAATAATTCTGCTAATATCTTATGATATCATCAGATGTCATAGACAGCGATACATAAATGCACTGGACATTACTCTATAATGCAAACACTGTATACCGGAACTTCTGTATGGAATTTAAATGCTTCATTAACTTCAGTTGATTCATATCCACATTTGGGTGAAAATTCGCCAGTGTGCACTGGAGGTCACAGACTAATGAAGACAACAGAAATGACTCAACCAGCAGAAAACAAAAAGAGATGCAATTGTGAATCACCAGAGATGGCGCACTCCACTCCTCAGCTCAACCTAGAAATTCTACCCACAACATAGCAATGGCCTTGGCACCCCATATTCCCACTGTAACCCCCACAAGACATGTTTATAAGCCTTCTGTAAGTCTATCAAAAACATGTTACCAGAATAGACAACCTCCAATGAATCAGTTATACCCTTCCTTTCTAACTGAGCTGAGCAGTAACCATCCACTTCACTCCACCAGCGAGATGGGAAAGGCTCTGTGTTCTCTAAAGAGGGTGTTGGGTTTGAGTTCCTTGAAGTGTTCCTCCCACCAACCAACAATATCCCATGTTATGGTTAACAGCTCCCCTCTCTGCTGAGAGCAGCTTTAGCAAGACATACTGCCGCAATCAGATGATACAATTCCGCTAATGAACTAGGTTACACTCAAACATGATGTTCATCAAGAACAGTGTGTAACTGGCACTGAAGTGGAATAATAAAATACCACTCAGGCTCAGATCAGGCAGGCTGTTCATCCCAATCACCCGTCTACAGAGGTTTCTCCAACGCTGCCCATGTGAGCACTGAAGTCCTCCAACACGACTGCAGAGTCCCGAGGCCCTGCTCGTGACCACAAGTACTGTTCAGTGTATAGACATAAAAGACAGTCATGGCTTTCCTCTCTATGAAACACAGACGCACAGAGGTATCGTTCTCAAAGTGTGAGGGAAACTCCAAACCAATGCTGCTCTACCGGGGGGGGGGGGGCTCTATGGCCGGCAGGCTCTATGCAGTAGTTTGGATCCAGAGCCAGCGCTAGCGCTGTAGAGGTGAGCCCAGCTACATGTATCTGACATAGCTGTACCTCATTCACCATCTTCAGCTCCTTCCCCATTAGTGACTGACATTTCTTGTCCAAAAACCCTTACCTGCGATTAGTGAACCGAGGGAAATCCATCAAGGACCTCTTGACCCAAAAACACAAAAGGAACCGGCACCATCACGACCAAGTGTCAGTTCTCTGAGCAGATTTGATTTTTTTGCTGCATCAAGACTAAACTTTTCAACAGCACAGCACCTGGTCTCCTCTCTTTGTCTCTCTCAAAGACAGCCCATGAGGACAAAATACTTTTACTGTATATCTGCTCTCAGACAGGTCTTTGCAAAACGAGGTTGAGTCAGCCTGCTAATATAACACAGAATTTAAGATAGTGCATCTGAAGATATCTGGTAACAGGTTTCCTGGTGGGAAAGAGGTATATGGTAAAAACATATTTGACAGAGCTTATTATCTTAGTACTCTAGAGTACATGACTGCACGGGATAAGAGACCTGAGTTTGCGCAGTGCATTTACTGTAACCTAATAATCGCAGTACACAGGATCTGGAATATCGCCTACCCTGGTGAAAGGATAGGGGAACGCGCTCTCAGAGTTAAATAAACAGTGACAAGAGGAAGAGGAAAACAAACCACAGAGTATCTCTCTATCTTTGAAACCCAGACTCTCCCTGAGCTCTCAGCACTCAACGGATCAACCCCTCTCCATCCTTTTCCTCCCCTCTCTCCCAGGAGTGTGCCAAGACAAATATATAGGCAGAGTAAGGGACACAGAGTCAGAAAAAAAAAAAGATTGTAATATAGAGAGGTGAATTCACTGACTTGTTTCCCATGTAGAAAAATATATCATGCTGCTATATCGGTCATGCTACAGGTTGTGCACTCACAAGGTTCTATAACACTTTTTCAAACTTGTTTTTTCCCTTACCATAGACTTGGTGAAAGGTCTGGCCAGCGTGAAGAGAAAGGTCATCAGCCACCAGCTCCGGTGAATTGAGGTGTACATCATGTTCCCAGGATGCACTGCGTTGGAGGTGACACCTTGAGATGAGAAGCGGCGGTGGAGCTCGTTGCTGAAGAGGATGTTGCAGAGTTTGGCCCGATTGTAAGCCAGCATGGACCAGTACTCCTTCTTTGGGGGAGACAGCAGGGCTAAGTCCACCTTGCCACTTGAGTCTAACAGGTCTGTGAACCTGAAACATAGTCCACATCAAGAGTATTTAGAGTGTGAGTGTGTGTCTGTGTGTGTCTGCCTGTGTGTAGGCTTTCTACCAGCAGATGTGTGTTGCTGGCTGCATACAAATCAAAGACATGACATGATGTTCTTTAATTGCCTCCGACAGAGCTGTTAAACTCCAGATGTTTGACAAGGCCCCTTAAACATTACACTACTCGTTGTGTTATTATGCAGTCACACAATAACATCACAATACACGGACACGAAAACTACACTCCCTGTGTGTGTGTGTTGTGTGCAGGTGTGTATATGTGTGTGTGTGTGTGTGTGTGTGTGTGTGAGAGAGAGAGAGAGAGAGCGATAGGCTCCAAACCGGCGGAACACATCCTACATATTAATCCAGTCATTAGAAAACAACCAATCAAAATGTCACCTGGTTTCCTTGTTGTGATTTTACAAGCTCGCTGCCTCTTGTTTACTGTCGCCTTCCGCAACATCCTTGCTTGGCTAAATTACAACATCTGCAGGCTTTTCATTTCATGTGCTGCAACTTCATAACTACTTTAGCAAGTAGAGGTTGATAAATCAATTGCCACAGCACCAAATGGGATTTTTTTTTTTTTCCAAATATGTTCACATGTTATACTAAAGTTACATTTGAAGGAGGTTTTACAGTGACATTACAATCAATGGATTACCCTGCCAGATGGTCCACACAATTTTGCATAATGATATATAAAGATTTTAGTTAACAAAAATATCTTGTCTGTACATAAAAGTATGGAGCCAAAGTTGTAGCTTAGATCTATCAGAGGTAATTACATTAAGGATCAGATCAGACCAGATCTGATGCAGTACTAGGGCAAAATAAACCTGTACTGGGCCAATTCCACAGTAAGCCCCTATGGTGGAAACTGATAAAGTGTCCAGCCATTACCGGCGTGTCCATCTCTCCCACCCCTGTCCCTTATAGGTCAATACTTTACCAGCGGACAAGGGGCTTAGGGAATACAATATGCTGCCAGGTCAGGGGTCACACACGCTTGTGAGGGGAGGCTAAGTGAATAAACGGGGAAATCAGCGGAAACTGAAAATAACACAAACACAAAAGGGAGCAACTTCAAAAGATGTAATATAGGTCTGGAATGAGGTGGACAGAATGGAAGATGTAATATGAGATATTGTCTATTTTCGCTCCTTCTTCTTCTCCCTCTAGTCTGTGTCAGTGTGTAACTGACTCTCTCTGGTCCTGCTTAAGCCCTCTTTGAAGGGGTTAAAGCCATTGCTGCTTGCAGAGGAGAGAAGGAAAGGTGAATATATGTGTCGGGGAGGCAGAAAAGGAGAGAGGGAGCTGCAGGGCAAAGAGAGAAGAAAATACCTGACCATTTCTGGCTTTCCAATGTGTATAAATTTTACACATTTTGCCTGTTTCAATAGCAGCCTGACAGTTTTTACACCACCAAAACTTGTGTGAACACACTGTTCTTACTGTGTAAGAAAGTCTTGCATCAATCAAACTCTGTCAATACTTACATCATGACATACTTTCTTTCAATAAGATTTCCCTTCACTCTCTCTTCCTCCTACAGCGTGTAACAGCAGTATGACCCGAAGTGAATCTGGGCGTTAAACCATCCCCTCCGCTGCTCCTGTCCTCTCATGCATGGCAGTCTGTATAACATAACTCATATGAGGGCCCCTGTAATAGTGCTGCTGTTTGATCTGCTAGAATAACTCTGCGTATGTTCTCCTTGTCTCAGGTCACTCTGCAGAGCTCCAATCAATCACTCTGCTTGGCTGTCTGACTGAGTGAAGCCAGGATCAATGTTGCACACACACACACTCACACATACTGACTCTGAAACACATGGCTCAGGGGCTGGGCTCACAGATCCCTGCAAGACATCATGCTTGTCTACTGTATGACAGGAAAAACAGAAGCCTATGGAGCAGAGTTGCTTGACAAAAAAGACAGACTCGAAAAACAAGAGATGGCAGAGAGAGGGAAAAGAAGGAAGAAAGGGGCTGAGTCAGGGGGTCACACAGAAAGGAGCAGATACTTGATCAAAGTAAATTTTAGCTGATAAGTCCATCCATCATGTTGATGATACGTTTAATTCATAGTGACAGCGTGCGGAGGGAAATGAGTTTTCAGTGAGTGAGGCTGTCATGTTTGACAATACGCATTAAGTCTGATCTATCAGTTTGTGGTGAAAACTAGCCAATGTAGCGGCTGTAACAGCATGACTGGAGTTGAAAAGTTGTTTCAGGAGCAATTATGTCCCCACAGTGTTGGAAGGTAAATTAGCACAAGGTGTCATCAAAATGTTAACCTGTTATCTCATCACCTATTGACTGTCAAGCAAAGCAGTGCTAATATGAAACTATATTTTCTAGAAAACTGAAGATGTCAGAGTGGTGTGTGCTATAATATTTGGAATATTTGGAATGGTGTCAAGTCAATTTTATTTTTGTAGCTATTAATCACACATTAGAAATTTTGTTATTGATGCGATTACATTTTGCTATTTTTCCTACTTAGTCAGTCAAACTCACAAACACATTTAGAGCTTGTTGTCTTAAATGACTTTAACCTAGTTTATTTCATGTATGTTTATAGTTTCCAGGGGCAGTTTATCTCAAATTTGCGGAAATACTGTATATACATGTGATAAACTGGAAAAAGAAACACCTTCTTATTAAGAATTAATTGGGATGATAAGTATTCTGTCTTAAAAATGCACAGGTCATGCTTATTACTTACTGAGATAGGTAAATCCTATCTAAAGTAAAGCCTAATTTTTCTATTCCTCTCTTGAGACCATGTAGACATATTGATACCAAACTAGTCAAGCTGCCTAGTTTATTGTCTTTACCTGTGAGACTCTGAAGACACAACCACAACACGGGCAGGGGCCGAGCGACGCAGCACATCCTGTAGGCACTGGACAAGGAGGAAGTGACCTAGATGGCAGATCTGGAAGGTGGACTCCAGGCCGTCCTCCGTCAGGCTCCAGGGTTGAGTGCACACTGCTGCATTACACACCAGAATGTGCAAAGGCCTGCGATGGGAGGAAGGCAGAAAACATGTTTGTTTATGGATGTGAGGTCAGAGGTTATTCAATGTGCTTCACAGAAATAATAGAAGCATAAAAAGCTAGAAGTAAAAAGCATCGTAAGAAAACAGTATAAAAACACACATTATAAAACAGGTAATATCTAATTCAAGTGCAAGATTAAATGAAGACAGCAAGAAGAAGCAAGTTACGTTTGGACAGATTTGATATCCATTGGGAGATGGTTCCAGTTGTGGGCAGCATAGGTACCACTAACTGACCAGCTCCTGCAGATCCAATTAGGCTTATTTATATCAAGCATTTCAGAAACATTTTTAGGACGCAGACCATTTAGTGCCTTGTAGACAATGAGTAAAAGTTTGAATTCAATTCTGTATCAAACTGGAAGCCAGTGCAAAGACCTGATAATTGGAGTAATATGCTCTTTTTTCTTGGTTTTAGTTAGGACCCCAGCAGGATTCTCAATAAGCTGTAGGTGTCTAATGGTCTTATTTGGTAAACCAGTGAGGAGAGCATTGCAATAGTCAACTCTGGAGGATATATAGGCATGAATAAGTTTCTCTGAATCTTGGGTTGAAACAATTGAAGGTTTGTTGCATCCAGCCATTCACCTTTTCAAGGCACAAACACAAAGAGTAGGACTGAAATCATTTGGTGAGCTAGCTAAATAAATCTGCGTGTCATCTGCATAGCTATGATAAGCCACCTTGTTCTCTTGGAAGATATGTTTAAGAGGGAGCATATACAGGTTGAGCAGAGGGGGCACAAGAACGGATCCTTGTGGAACTCCATATGGCATAGTGGTTTTCACTAATTCATGAGTGCCGATAGAGATAAAACAACCCCTAAGTAGGTCCTGAACCATGTGAGGACTGTTCCTGAGAGTCCAGCGCCGTTTTGTAATTTGTCTGGCAGTATTTAATGTCAACAGTATCAAAAGATGCGGAAAGGTCTAGCAATACCAGGACAGTTATTTTACCTGTGTCTGTATTTAGACGAATGTCATTTAGGGTGGTTTCAGAACTGTGATGTTGACGAAAACCTGATTGGAAGTTGTCATAGTAGCCAATTATGGTCCAGTAGTTACTGATTTGTTTAAAAATGACTTTCTCAATAACCTTGCCTATGAATGGGAGGTTTGAGATAGGCCTGTAATTACTAAGTGCAGAGGTGTCTAGGTTTCCCTTTCTCAGGGGGGGTTTGATAACTGTAATCTTTAGTGATGCTAGGAAAGTGCCTGAAAAAAGGGAGCCACTCACAATTTGTGAAAGTTCGGATGCTAAAAACACTTTTAAAACATAGACATAAAGACTATATTTTTTGTGTTGGTATAGATTTCGTTAAGCCGTTATTCGACTGAGTGGAACTAAGACCTTGTGTTGTTTAATGTTGTAATCTTGTCATGTTGTAATGATTTTAATGTAATGTAATTATCTGATGGAAAAAAAGAAGCAAACTCATTACACTTTTTTAGCCAATATAAACTCTTGAGGTAACTGTGTTGAGGGATTTGTTAATGTATCCACATTGGCAAATACAGTGCAAGTGTTGTTAATATTCCCATTAACGATGTTAAAGAAATAAGATTGTCTAGCCCTGCATAACAGAGTTACAGATACAGAGTCGCTCTTTAAAAAGCCTTCCTGCACCTTCTGTTTTAATTTGCTACTGCTG